AAACGGGAGACAATTAAACTCATATAATCCTTCCGACGTTACAAATGCAGTTTTCTCTTTATCCTCTCCACATACAGGTACATTCCAATAACCTGTTAATACATCCATGACAGAAAAGTACTTCGCTTTCTGAAACACTTCTAACATCTCATCTATTCTAGGCAAGGGATACACATCCTTCCTAGTGACTGCATTCACTCTTCTATAATCTATGCAAAATCTATAACTTCCATTGGACTTCTTCACCAACACTACAGGTGATCCCCATGGACTACTTGAAGGTCTTATAACTTCTTTTTCTAGCATACTCTTAATCTGTTTCCTTACTTCTTCCTTCTGTGCAAATGGTATTGGATAAGGTCGCTGTTTTATAGGGTGAGCATCTCCCGTGTCAATTTGATGATTGACTAAACTTGTTTCTCCTAAATCATTATCATCCTTTGCGAAAACATCAAGATATTCGCTAAATAATTTTCTGACTTCCTCTTTCTGTTCTTCGGACATTTTTCCTACATCTATATTTAGATCCTTCAAAATGTCTCTTCTCTCCTTTTCTTTCTCTGGTATTTCATTGACTGCATCATTGTCGTGAATTTCACACACTTCACAGAAACTTCCAATATTCACTTTTTCATGTAGAATCACAGGTTGACTTGATGAATTTACAACTGTAACTGCCATCAATTCACACGCTCTGCTTAATACTCTTGCTGGCATAACACTATACTTCTCCATAAAATCGCTCTTAGGCTCCACAATTCCAATTTTTCCATAAAATTCTGGACTGACTCTTGCATTACACACTACTTGGGATCTTTCAGGAATTTCAATTGTTTCCGCCAAATGAACAGAACATCTAACATTACGGTTTTCCCTCAAAAACTTGACATAATTTCCATTCCAATATACTGAGCCATCCTCCATGTCAAGAACTGCACCAACACTTTTCAAAATATCTGTTCCAATAATCACATCATAACAAAGGTTTCTTGCAACGTACACATTATGTTTGAATAATTCACAGTTAACTTCAATTTCACAATCAACAATGCCTATCACATCAATAGCCTGACCAGTTGCTGATACTATACGTCTGTCTGTCGAAGTCAATTTATTTCTCATTTCTGGGCCAATAAATCTGTCACTTATCAAAGAAAAAACAACGGCTCCTGTGTCCAACATTAGAACAGCATCAATTCCAAAAATTTTCCCTTTTATTTGTATTCCCTGGTAATCACCTTTAACTAAAGAAGGTACTTTCACAATATTTTCACATTTTCTTTTTTCACATTTTGTTTCATCACTGTTTTTACATAAAATCCTTTTGTCAGAGGCATTTTCTTTTTCACTGATGACCGCCTTACCCTCTCCTAAGGAGGTCTGTTTTAGTTTAAACCTGTACGCTGCGGAATCCTTACAAATTTTCTTGGGGTGCTTGTTGCAAATTGACATTCTCTGGCAAGGTGATTATTTCGTCCACAATTATAACAACGTCTTATCTGACGATTTCTTGACTCATAACTGCCTTGAGGTGGAACATGGCGAGTAGGTCCCACGCGTTTCATTGATGCAAACTTAAGACCATCTAGCTTTCCTGCAATTGTATCCAACTTTCCTGTCATCTTCTCAAAAGAATCCATAATTACTTTCATTTCGTTTGCAACTACGTTGACTTTAGCGGGTTCTGGTTGGCTACTCATTATCAGTTGCTCGTTACATTCTTCTCTTTTTGCAATTCTAAAAGCCTGTTCAAAACTTTGAGGATCTGCCATCATAACATAACGACGTAGCTCAGGACGTAAACCTTGCAAGAAATGCTCCATGACAAGCCTGTCATGATCATCTAAAGAAACTCCTCCATGTGCACGTCTAGCCAACTTCAAAATAGCACTTCCATAATCTTCAACATTTTCTCGAGCTAGCTGTTTTCTTTGAAATAATTCTGTGTAATACATTCTCTGCAACTCTTTTGGACAAAATCTCTCCTTCATGCGATCAAGTAACTTGTCAAAATCTTCTTGGACATCTTGATCTAAATCTTCATAAAAATCAGCTGCACGACCTCTCAAATATGCAGGTAGCATTGCAATTTTCCTCTCAGGTCTCCATTTGTTAGCACGACTTATCCTTTCAAATGTTTTGATCCAACTCTCGAAATCATCACCAACATCTCCATAAAATTTTGATGGCGTAACATGAGATTTTGATTCTATTCTATCATCGGTAGCCGCTCGCTGACTAGTGAACATCCTAGGTGACGAAATCGGAGATACACTTCTTTGCCTTCCTTTTCTTCCCATTTTTAACCGAATTCACAAATTAATCCAATGAATATTCACAAATTAATCCAATGAATATTAAATTCTTCCAAACACACACACAATAATCCAATTTTGAAAAAGACACAGGTTCTAATATATTTCCAGTTCAAGTGAATGCTGGAATCCCACTTCTGACACCAAAAATATGTCACGGAGGTGACCGAGCAATTATAACTTTTTAATTCCACTGAGTATATATCCAATTATAATTAAGATATCCTTGGTTGATAAATCCTTGTAATGCTAGATCCAATAAAAAGTCAGTAAACAGTGCACTAATTTATTTACATATATACAATGAGGAGGCATAATACAAACGAAAGATGTTACATTTATGCTAGCATATGTACTGTCTAAATCCTAGCAAAGCACTCCCCCTTCTAAAAAATGTCACACTTGTTATATACGAATCTTAGCTCCAATAGATGATTATCTAAAACATTAACTCCATCCTATTAATTAACTAACTCCAACTCTACATATATCTTTATCAAATCCTTATCAAACTGTCATAACCTAGCTTGACCTTAACTCAATACACGGCTCCCGATTCTATGAACAATAGCTCCCATTGCTCCACTCATTAAAGACTCATTATTCTTGACCACACTAGACACTGCTCTACTTTTAATTACCCTAACACAGCTTGACTAGTCTGGGCAATGCATCCAAATGCCTGTAACTCTGGACATTTAATAATAAATCACTTCATTACTTTTGAGCCTAAAATTACTACTCATCATTTACATAACACGCAAAAGAAACGCAACACCCTTCTTTAGTGGGAAATAATTATGTAAAGTAAAGAATTTTGTATCTTAAAATTATGAATATCATCAATTTGGTAAACATCGGTAATTTTACGATTGAACGATTTCCATACCATAACCGGAAGTGAAGTTTGAGTCTGCTTTACAGAAATCAAAAATTGCATGTATAACAAAACATTTGGCAATATTATAGAGTTTTAAGGGTTCTTTACTGTTCATCATAAGTAATGCAGCAATATTTCAAAAAAATAAACTCTCCTTTCGTTTCCCGTAACGATGCTAAGGCTACTTGAAAATGGCTTATGTACGCATTTCTATTGCTCTAGCTGAAAAATTTCAATGTAAAGGTGATGGAGAGTTGCTGATGCAAAATTTCATTACATTAAGCCTCAACAGGGTCTTACGTATCATATGCATTAAGGACTGTCCTTGTACCGGAAGTCCAAGGGTGGCTACACTGCTCTAAGTTAGAGAAAATTCGACCTAATCATCTGAAAAACGGGCATTTAAAAATGCCAAAGAATAATTCCTTCGCTCAGATCTCGATAGTTATGAACCTATTGTATCGTAGAAATTAAGCTGCAATTGTTGTCTAGGGCAGTCTTGCACGTTTTACTTGAATGGCTGGGAGGGGGTGTTTTAACAGTCATATTTTACTTAGTAAAGTAAACAGATAAACATTTAACATTTTTATCAAATATCTGATGTTCTGAAAAGTGAGTTTAGCCTTACTTTATTCGCTTATGAAAATCATAAGATAAAAAAAATCAAAAATCTGTAGGTAACTGCTTGTTGCGTTTCTTTTGCGTGTCAGTATATGATTCACTAATAAAATTATACAGCTAATTACTTGTCTGCATTTAATTACTAGTAAGTCTTAGCCAAATACATGAGATAATCGGAATTATTAATGTAAATAAACCTTACCAGTCATATTAATTTGAAATGTTTTATCTATTTTAGTTGCCATGAAAGAGTATATATATGTATTGTTAGTCATTTTATAGGATAGATTTTGAAAGGAAGGAGTATTACTAGTATCAGGGAAAACTGACAATCGAAAAAAGTAAAAATTGTTGTTCAGTAAAAGTGTTGGAGGGGGGTCCCTGCATCACCTCCTACTATCCTCACCCAAAAATATACACTCGCTATATGTTTTGTTCACACTTTTGTGCCACTTTTCTTAAGTATTAAGAATGGAATTAAAATTTGTGAAAGTGCAACAATGTGTTAATCAAACCCGTCTAAAAAAAAGTTTTAATAACTTTTAGATGAAATAAGATTTTTTGTATATTTTTGTGTGAAATGCTATTAAAATTTATTAGTCGTAATATTATACAGAAAATATGAACTTCAAATCTGTGTCCATGCACCTTTAAGTTTTTGCGGACAAACAGACATGCAGACAGAGGACGGACGGACAGGAGAAAACTATATATATATACATCCGAATCTTAGGAGGTCATAAATATATAACTTTTTTAATGATATATCTTTATCTTCAGCTATGTACAATGAAGTAAAATCAAGTCAACTTCAGTGTTTGAAAGCTTTGACAATTGATATATGATTTTGATAGCAAAACTTTGTAACAAAGGCAAAATCTTATCTTAGAACCTTGTTGAACTTTTATATCATGAAGACAACTAACTAAATGCGTTAACCTATAAAATTCGTATTACCTTTATTTTTCACATGAAGTGGCCAATCACAATAATTATCATTAGACATTTTTCTACCTGTTAGGTCAATTCCGCTTGTTGTTATCTTTTCTTTCAAAATAATCTTTTGTTAATGAAATGTTTCCGTTCATTAACACGATTTAGCTTGTATTACACGTTTTTCCCAGACTTAAAGATATTTTTTGTGTTAATCGTCGCACTTTATGTGAAGCTTGCTCATCGGGAGGATGTATGCATTTATCTCTGGGACTTTTTTCTTCGCCCTTCTTTGCCATACTGGTCATTTACAGAGAAATGGTATGTCCTTATTAAGCAATTGGTTTCTTATTCCTGAAAAAAGTATAAGTAACAGTATACTTTCATCCTTATTTCGGCTTTTCCTATTGATGAAATCAGGATTTATATTTAATTTGATAAAAGTTTAGAATAATGTTTAAAATTTGAAGTTTGTAAAGTTAAAATCGATAGCACATCCAAAAAGTTTACTAGGGAAAATATTTTTGATTCAAAGAGAACGTTAAATAAATAATCAAAAACTAATTATAGCAATATCTTCATTATTGGTTTTCATGTTCTTTTAAGACCATGACAATTCCTTTTTTCAAAATCAAGCACGGTTTCCACGATGTACATCGGGCTGTAGTTCTATTCCGACGAACACTCCACGACACTGTATTTCAGTTGGAAGACTATATCGGTTTCGCGGAAGATTTTGTCGAGGATGTGATTGGGTCAGATCGGGATGTGACAACACATGTAATGGTGTAAACTGTGCAAGAAACAATGGACCTCCACAATGTTACAGAAATTGCCCTTACATTAATCAAGGAATGCCAAGACATTGTATTATACCAGGTGTATTGGTTAACAACCAAGGTTTTCTATGTAGATTATGTGATAGAATACAACCGACATGTTCAAGATTGGCGTCTCGCTTTATTCCACGCTGTCCGGTTAGATGCAAAGAGGTGGTGAACGGAACCCCTGAACACTGCATCATAAGAGGACGAGTGATGAACTACCGCGGTCGGCCATGTAGGCTATGTGACACGGTTAATTTTGGCTGTGTGAGAAAAAACTTGACCATTTGTGCTGAAGCCCTGGAAACCTGCAAGACTGCACCAAAGGGTATGCCAGATTTCTGCATATCTCAAAACGTTACCAGTACACCAGCGACACCGCCATGTCTAACGTGTCCAGTCATTAGTAATTCCAGTATGTGTAGGTTCCCACCTTGCCAAAGATGCACACCACTCACTAATATAGCCACGGTTCCTCCTGAATGTATCAAAGATGGCGATATTGTGCAGATTCCCGGATACCACTACAGATGTAGCCTCTGTCCTTACATTGATCCGTTTTGTTCTGAACTTGAAGTTACTATCTGTGGAAATCAAATGGCAAACTGTGTCGGTACACCAATCGGAACACCTCAGCGCTGTATCGACCAGTCCGTGCATATATTTCTAGGAAGTCCCTGTCTGTCCTGCCCGATCCTGAAAACTGAAGAACCCGGATGTGTGAAGGAAGCGTATGATATTTGCACAGGATTTGTGTGTCCACGTGTAACTAGGCAAACTGTCATGTGCTTTGATAAAGGTCCATTTTCCAATGCCCCGAATGCTACATGCAAAACTTGTCCAATTTTACATAGGCACAAACATAATTTGTGTGCAACAGTTACCTCCTATCAGCGATTTTGATAGGTATATGTGTTCCAAAATATCATTGATAAACGAAAACAAGCCATGTTGTATTCCTATATATAGCTGAAAGAGCATGCAGAGGAAATTTTTTATTAAATTTTTATTATATACACTGTACATGCACTCTTCTTATACATGCAGTATGTACAGTTTACCGACTACATGTATGTATCATCTTCTTTCTTTGTAGTGTAAGAGGTTAATAACGGGATATTCATCTTTAGTAGGTTTTGTATGATTAATTCACGTGCAGAATCACATTAAAACTGTCGTTTAAATTGGGCATTCTTGTGAAAGCAAGGGAAACTAGCGGATTCGAGGAAAACAAGCTTGTTATTTTTTTTTTACCTGAGAAACCCAACTGCAGGCCCGTGGTCGAAGGTTACAGCTTTGGTTTCAAATTCGACAAATCGCATCCAGACGAACCATCATTGTTGGTAATTTTTTTGTCGAACATCAAAAATGTAATTTAGAGAAACCCGAAACACTGCGAAATAAAACCTGAATATAAAACGATTGCAAATCGGCCCAATATCTCAGACAATTCCAATATTATATATTTTTTGAGCGCTTGGTAAAAATATTTAAAATGTCTAACTTTCCCCCCTTAAACACTAGACAATTAAGCTATTAACAAATAAGTTGATGAATCACGAATATCAACAGTCTCTTTTAAATAAACATTTGCAATTCTATGATCGGTACAATGACTTTGTCATCAAATACAATTTATCACTAAGTCGAATATTGGTAACATCTGCATGTATCATATTTGGATATTTTTTCTTTAATAAAAATAAAAGTTAATGGTTACGCAACAAAAGAGTTTATGATAAATGAGATGAATTTCAACTACTCTGTCGTCCAATTTTCTTATTTATACTATTATATACCCTCTTCACCAGCATATGGAGTTTCTGTCTTGCAGTTGGTTCGATGCGCAATAGGATGTCCTACGTTTAAGAACAATGATTCCTCAAACGAAACAAGCTACAGTAAAAAGGAACTGCGGTTATATAGCGAAGTCACTGGGACTTATGAAAATACTTTGCCACATCCTTAATTCGTTATATCTGTATAAGGAATTCGTTATATTTATATTGCTGGGTATCTGAGAAAACTTCGCTATATCCGTGAATTCGCAATATCCGTGTTCGTACTAAACGAGTTTTGACAAATAAGTTGATGAAACAAGAATATCAACATTCCCGTTTAAAGTAATCACTTTACAAATTTTATGGTAAACAAAGTGACTTGTAAACAAATACAATTGATCGTTAAGATGAATGCTGACTGACGCTTTTCAAACAAGCTGATAGGTCATTACTTAGAAACAAACCTAGTGTTGTATAAACGGATTTTTCCGTTTGCCCGAAGACGACTGAGCTTACAAACTGAGCTTACAACGGGTGTGACCTGTAAGGAATATTAATAAATCCTCAAGAGAGGTTGCTTTCTAAGCATAATAATTTTAAACGATCTAAAAAGGTTACAAAAAAGGAGAGAAATTAAAGAGGAGATGAGGGTACATCTGGTCATTTCTCATTAATTAAATGCTTTTTAGAAAATGATTTACGATTTTTTTTTAATCAGAAAACTAATTAACTTTAAATTGGTTTGTTTTTAAGCCTAACAGCTTCCTAATTGATGATTACGTCACCTACTCGACAAACATCCCTGGATGGACAAAAAAAATCGAGAAATGTGCTAAATGTGCTTATATGACCCTGGCAGGGATATCGATCAATGTCGATCTAACGCTTGTTTTCGAGACTCAGCAACACGCATCCAGTCATCTATTTATATTGATCTAATGGTTATCAATACATATCTTTTGAAAGTTTCAGATGGGATCTTCTATGATCTTGTTGCATTCGGAGCAATATAATTGAAATTCAAACCCATCGAGGACGAGCGCTGCTTTTGGACATCGTTAATTACTGTAATGATTGGATGTTAAAATAAGATTTAGTACTTTGTTAATTTTGCAAGATGACAGATGCATAGAATACTATGAAAGTCCAGGTAAGATATCAAGGATTGTTCTAATTTATTTTGTTCAATTCTTTGTAGATTGAGGTAGAGAAAGTGATAATGTTTTAATTGTGACAATCGATCCGTTGTTGGATGCATAATAAGAGGTTCGTTAGCAATAAAAATGTTTTGATACCAAATCGTCCTATGCAATGATAATTTGCTTTTTTCATACCTCCATAGAAATTATCCCTGAACATTACAAAATAAGATAAAACCGAATGGTGAAATTTAGATAATGTTAATTTCGCATTAAAAGTTTTGAGTCCTTGTTCCTTATTACGTGCTAGTGGTATCATTCTCTTTTTTCTGACACTATAATAAAGAGGCACAACATGTATAAAACTGACATTTTTTCTTAATATTACATGTTTTTAGTCATTTACATTAATTTAACATTTGTTTACAAGAATAAAAAAATTATTCGCGGGAAAAATATTCATGAACCACAAAGTATCACAGTTTTGCTGAATATTCTTTAAGAAAAAGAATTAAGAATTCTTTATTCTTTTCTTATATATTTGCTAATGCTCTAGATAAAAGATTTTATAACTTTTAAATACTCCTGAGGGTTTCCTTTAAATGTTACACGCACCCCTCTACTTTCCAGGGTAGAATAAAAGGCTATATGAATTTCCATATTAAAGATACTTATAAAATAAGGATATGGAGATAACGATCAGTACTCAATATACAGGAGCAGAGCTAACACGAAGCTCAAAAACATCAGAGGTGGGATCAGGTACCATGGAGGAGTTAGCATCCCCTTCCGACCGGTCACGCCCGCCATGCGCCCCTTGTCATTATTGGGAAATAACGGAAAAAATCCGTCGTCAATTCAGTGTATAATCAATGGACTAACAATTAGAACGAAAAACTTCTGTCAGCATTTGACTCAATGTTAAATTGTATTTGCTGACTATTGACCTCATAAACAGCAATAATTGTATAGTATTTGATTACAATGTCATTGTATCGACCATAAAACTTACGAAATGATGACTTTAAACGAGACTGCTGATATTCTTGTTTCATCGACTTGTTTGTCAATAGTTTGCCTCGTTTTAGAAATTGTTCATACGTAGAGCATGCTCTTGCGTATCGAATCAACTGAGATATACAAACGCCGTATGCAGGTGATGAAGGTATATTGCTGCATAAGTAAGGGAAGTTGGCGATAGAAAAGTTAAAGTCATCCGGTTTATCATATATAGATTGGTTAGATTGGTTAGATTGGTTAAAAACCATTATAACCATTGGTTAGATTACCAATAACGACTTTTTCAAGTAAAATATCCAAATTTGAAACAGATGTGTCAGACCCTGTGGTATCTATTAATTTGAGTTCACCAAGATGTATCGTATCGACGTAGGAATGGAAATTACCATTGCTAATTGACAACACGTCGTCGATATATCTAAATGTCGAGTTGAAGGCTACAACAAGTGTTTTCTTCTTTTCACGCATAAGATTTTGCACAAATTCTGCTTATATGAATACAAAAATAGGTTTGCTTACAAAAGATTGCAATTGGTATCCATGGGAATTCCAGCAGATTGTTGGAAGACATGGTCTCCAAAACCAAATAGATATTGTCAATCATAAACATAAGCATCTTTTTGATGTCGACTTCAGAGTACTTGTGTGTACAATCAGAATGTGTTTTAACAAAATAATTTTGAATATGACCAATGACCAGATAAGTAAAGTTACGAGTTCCATTCTTATTGAAAAAGCAGCTGTCAATGATATCAAAAATCCTGGACTGTAATTTATCGTGTGGAATGGCTATGTATACAGTCGAAGATGTAGATTTTGGTGAAATCTTGTGATTTCAAATTGTCCAACAGTTCTTTAGAATTTTTGAGTTTCCACATCTGATTCACACCACTTCTTGAATATACCGTTTCAATTTTTGATTTTAAAAGTCTTTTAATTTATTTTTAATTTTTTTTTTGAAAGAAGACAACAATTGAATTGACTTTATCTAATTATCAATCTTATCTATTTCATCTAACAATAAAAAACCATTGCACAATAGAATTTACAGAAATATACATGTGATGACTCATCAAAGTATCTAAATTGTAGGACTTTTGTCAAGGAACCCCTTTTTTCGAAGTGTTATTTTTTGAAACATTTTACACTCTTAATTTATAAGAGGCAATTTAATTATCTGCCTGATTCCATCCTTTGATGAAAAGAAATATAAGACATAAATATTTCAGAAATCGACCTGATTCATTCATTTGTTTTACCTTGCAAGGTAACAATTTGGCAAATTAGAGATGCTTTCTAATGAAGTCCCAATTGGTTTATAAAAGCAAACTTAGCTCTGATAATTCCAAGATTAGTTTAAAATCTTTTAGAGGCATTTATTACGGCTGACTAAGAAAGACGAACGGCAACCATACAAAAGAAGGATAAAATATTCATAAATCTTAACTAACAGAACAAGGCAGATGTTTTGCAGAAAACCATTCAAAAATCACTTTCATTTGCCTAATGAATATTTAAAAAAAAAGTTGCAGAAAGGAGAAGTTGGATATTTAAATAGACAATAAATACCAATCAGAAGAAAAAAAGACAAGAAAAGAAAAAAAGAATATACGACACTGCAAAACAGCAAATAACTCCTCTTTGTAGAGAATTTAGAGATAAAGAAAAAAAATGTTGTTGCTTTGGAAAGCATGCGCAACAGGACAAAAAAGGTATTTCATAAATCTGACAATGGAGCAACACTGGTACAGATAAACAATAAGATTTTCAGACTTATTGAACATATACCTTGAAGTAAACTAGATAAAGATTATTGTGTGGTATTAATGGTGTTGAAAATGAATAGGAAAAGTAGTAAAAAACGACTTGATGTATGAAAATCTGCAGTGGAGAGCTTTAGTCGAAAAAATTCTTATTACTGCTGCTTATGATCAAAGAAGACCACAAACTAAACAAAATTTAATTCTCTCAGTCATGGCCTAAAATGATTTCACATCTGCAGAAGAACAAGACTTAGGGGTGTTATTTTGGGAAGGTTTGGAAGCCTGAATTTAAACATTTCAACCTGACATTAGACATTATAATATAAACCAGGGAGAAGAATGCCGTGAAATGTAAAAGACATAATAATAATAATGATGATAATAATCATAATTAATAATAAAGAGAATTACAGATATCCTGGTTGAAGTAGAAGTAATGACTTAATGTACACAACGGAAGAAAAACTATGTCACAGCAAATAAGGACGAGGTACAAATTTTTTGAATCATACTGAAAGTCTACTTGAAATACATGGAGATAACGAAGAGTATTGAAGCTCAAACGACCATCCATAAAATATATAAGAGGAGCAGCTTAAACATGATATCTCTTCAACATCAGAGGTGGGATCAGGTGCCATGGAGGCAGCATCTCCTACCGACCGGTCACACCCGCCGTCTGCTCCTTGCATGATCGGGAAAAACTGAAAAATCCGTCGATAAATCAGTGTCTATATAATAACCAAACAATTAGTATGGAAAACGTTCATCAGCCATTAACTTAACGATATATTGTATTTGCCGGCGAGGTCATTTTATCAAACATAAAACTTTCGAAATGATGCCTTTAAACGAGATTCTTGATATTCTTGTTTCATAAACTTGTTTTGTCAATAACTAACATGTTCCTTCTTGTATTTCAAAAGTTTAATCTACCCATGTTCTCCTGGGAAAAAAATTTAGTTTTCTATTTTTAAAATGAAGGGACGAGGGACAAAAAATCTTGCATATATACATATCCATTCGTACAGTCCATCTCTTTTGCAAAGAGTGACGGTACATTGGGGGAAAATTGTTCTCTTTCAAATTAATATTAGAAGAAAATATTTTGACTTGCTAGATTTTATTTATTAAAGTTGTTATGTGAGTTACTGAATCGACTCTAAACTATTTGTTCTTCTAACATCAAAACAGATTTTCCTTTGTCTTATTCCGAAGATCCTCCGTGATGTACCTCAGTATGTACATGTATTCAGCATAGTTCTGAATTAGTTTCCTTCGCCCAACAGTTTCTTTTTATAGTCTTGTACGAAGCTACGTGATGCAATTTTTTTTTATTATTTTATATGCAAACGTTTTATTTTTCTGATAAAAAGAACATTAGTCATTTATCACAAGCAATAATCTCATTAGGAAAATTCCAATAAACATTAGAAAAACAGATCGAAGGTGAAATCGTGCGAGTAGCACTTATTTAACTTCAATAAATTTAAGAATCGTTTTATCAATTTTTGTTTCAATCATGAAAAAAAAATTGCTGTAGGGCCAATCTTTGATAAATTATAGATAGCACCTTTTCACTGATTCACTCTCACAAACTCACACTGTATATTCCATATAATGCCTGATTTTGATTAGTCATCCCGTTTCAGGACAGACCTCTTACTAACTAGCTAACTGCTCAAAGATATATGACCAACATTATAAACTTTTGATTGATATCTTCCCTTATAGGCTATTACTGTAAAATGAAGCATTTGTTGCATCTGAGAATGTAAATGTTTTGTAAGACTTACCAAAAGTCTGGATTTTGCTCTTGGTTGGTTTTTATATATCATAAGTAAGTAAAGTGACATGTGTACATATATTCATATTCACAAACTGCATAAAGGATATGGAGATAACGAAAAGTATTATATATCAAAGTCCATAAAACAATACAAAATAGGAGCAGAGCAAACACGGACCTTCAAAACATCAGAGGTGATGTATAAAATAACAATTTCAACGTTTAACACGCGGCCCATCGGGTCTATATGCCATTTTAAACACAAACTTTAAAAAATATAGAAAATAAAGAGATACATGTAAACAAAATAAAAATATTATGATTGTTTATAAATCACCAGAAAAAGACAGAGGATATGTTTTCACCAAAATCAGTTTTATGAGGTATCTTAACCTTCTGGCTTGTGGTGAAGTTTCTCAAGTATTCTTCACGTCACGCGTGCTTACATCTTAATTTGAAACCATGATTCTTCTAGAGAATATGATTTTAGTTGTATATCATTTGATACAGCTGTTATATGATCATTCTGTTAAAACATTTTGAAGACACTGTGCTAAATGACGATGGCCTTGATGCTCCGAGAAAAGAAACGTTAAAGTACACGAGAGTCTTAGAACGGACTTAAAACACACCCTGCTAAGACCTCTTCCAAATCCAAAGAAGTGTTTTGTTCTCGGTACCGATGATATTAAGTTAGCAAACAGGATATTGAAAGTCTCTACATGTGTCTTTGATTGTTGTTGCTCGACAATCTGGATTCCCGAGGCGTGTTCAGGACCGGAGATGTCGGGTTTCCGGTCTTAAATTGAATCTTGGACCTGCCTCGTTTAGGTGACGTCCAACTATTAAATGTTTAAAAATAGATTAAGCAGTAATTGGCTAACGAATTGGTCGGGTTAAAACAGGTGCTCTCTTATCACGAAATGTAATCAATTAGTACAATGTCATTAGTCTGTTGATGAATGTTTTATAGTATAATTGAGTTCTGTTAATGATGATATATTTTTCCTTGATATTAAATTTGTATCCAGAGGAAAAATAAGACTTAAAAAAAAAAGATCACTGACCTCTTCTGATAGGTTTACGGATAACCTAAATTTGCCATTTTGCGGTTAATTACTTGTTCATATTATAGCAAAAGAAAAAAAGAAACATATAAAATAGTATAATAATAATCTTTTAATTTATTTCTGTGGGGGAAAATGCAGATCTGATATAACTTTTCAAAAATATTTTTTTTAAAATAAAAATTAGATCAAATGTGTAATACAGTAAGTACTAGTACTGTAGATTCCTTATTTTTCGCGAGTACTTTTATCGCGAACTGGCTCTTAAACGTCAAATCGCGAGAATTATAATTTGCGAATGGACGGTTGATCAATAGATTTTACAAAGATTTCAGAACTATAAAAATAAAAGCGAGTAAGATTTTTTCGCGAGTAATGCTTCTCGCGAAATTATGCGGAAATTAACTCCTTGCGTTTAATTAGGAATCTACAGTATGTGCAAATCTAAGATATAAAAGTAAAATAGCGCTTGTTTTATTTGAAGAATGACGAATTGCAGTTACACAGCGAGTAATGGGACCTTTTTTAGTCTTCAGTGTGTTAATTTCTGTTGCATGGGAGAAGATGTTAATTATTGTTCATCTTCAACTTGTTCAAGCACTTCATCGTCCGAAGACAATCTACCAGTATTGTGAGTACAGATATCATTTTTATAACAGTATTTACGTTCTTTATGTAAGTATTTATAATCCTCAAGATAATTGTTTTCCTAATATCCTTGTAATTTTTATGCTGGTCAAATCAAACCATTATATTTCAGTCAGGCCTTAAGTTGAACCAAAGGATCTCCCTCTCTACCTTAATTCAATTAAGTTTTATATATCAATCTGTGGCCCTTTTCACAAAAAATCTTACGACTAAGTTGAAAATATTACATTTCCGTGATTTTTTGTTAAATAAAAATATGTTTTAAACTACTTTTACTAATAAGTAAGTTAAAGAAATAGAAACATTAGATTTTTAGAAGTCCTTGTTCAGCTTAGATACTTATTAAGGAATGGGAAAATTTTCCATTTTAGTCGTAAGGTTTCTTTTGTGAAAACGTTCACAGGTCAGCCTTTGGTGTATATTAGATACCTGTAACATATTCACTTGTTTAGTCAGGGAAAATGAATGAACACAATGCTGGTTATATTTGCATTTGGAAACACAAAGGAAATATCATATAGATTCATCATTTATCTACGGTAGGTAAATAAACCAATGCAATACCATAATAACATAGATGATTTGATAATAGGAACTATTTACATACCACCTTCAAATTCTCGCTTTTCTTCTGTTGAAATTTTTGATGCACTTGAAAGAGAAATATCAAACATAGCAATTGAAAATAAATATATATGCTTAGTTGGTGATTTGAATAGTAGGGTGTCAACTGGAAAGGATTTTAAAAAATATTTAGAAACTGTAACCCCTGTTATTGGTGAAAATATTTTACTTGAAGAGTATGTTGATGTAAACCAAATGGAAAAATACAATTTTGCTGTCGAGAGAAAATCTAAAGATGTAGTTATTAATTAATATGGAAGAAGACTCCTAGATGTTTGTAAACAGTGTAATATTTTTATACATGTACTTAATGGCAGATGAAGAGGTGATAGTGATGGGGAATTAACTTGTAAACAAACAAGTGTTGTGGATTATTGTATAGCCAATATTGATTTTATAAAATATGTGTCAGATTCCAAGATACTACAATTTTGCTCACTCTTTTCAGATGTGCATAATCCTATTGAAGTTTCATTAATGTTTAGAAATGAACATTTTATAAGGTGTAGAACTGATGATTAACCTCCTGGCCTTTGTTATGTAGTTGCTAAAAACTGGGATACTGATAAAAAGTTGAACTACCAAAAATATGTTGAAAAAAAGGTGAATGTAGTTAAAAAATGATATAAAAAAAACTGTGCAGTTGAAGATACTAATTTGGAGTTTATTGATAATATTGTAAATAAGGTTGGTGAAATCTTTGTAGAAAGTGCTAAAGAAGTATTTGGCACCAAAAAAAAAAAATTATACAAACTGTAACAAAGAAATCAAAAACTGTAAAGTTAATAAACCCTGGTTTACGGCTGATTGTAAATGTGCCAGGCAAAATTATAGAAAAGCAAAGAGACTGTATAAAAAATTGGTGGTTCTATTTTCAAAACAAACTTGTATGAAAAAGAAAAGTTGTATAATCAGAAACTAAAGCTTGCAAACATTAAACATAGAACAGAAATGAAAAAGAAACTTAAATATCTACGTACTTTAAACGCTAAAGAATATTGGAAAATTTTAAATACAAACATAAACAAGCAAAGATGTATGGCTGACCTAAACGATCTGTATAATTTTTATAAAGACTGTAGCAATATGCAATTCAATGAATCAAACGAGAACTATGTTTTGAATGAGGAAGAACTCCTTCTAGTATCTGATATGTAGTTGAATCACTATATTAATCAACCAATAACACATGATGAAGTTCTGAAATGTATTAAATTATTGACAGAATTATAAATGAGTACATCAAGAGTACATCTGACTGTTTACTGAACGTGTATGTTGAGCTATTTAATAGAATATTTGATTCTGGAATAATTCCTTCACAGTGGACTAATGGTAATATAATCCCAATATATAAAAATAAAGGTGATAAGTCTGATCCTAAAAATTACAGACCACTTACAATAATAAGTTGTTTGGGTAAATTGTTCACTTACATTATGAATGAGAGACTAAATAACTATGCTGATAGAGCTCAACTTATCTTGGAGAACCAAGCCGGTTTTCGAAAAGATTTTTCTACTCTGGATCACATTTTTTCATTATACTCACTTATTGAACTGTTTAAGGCAGGTCCACACTTTTACGGATCCGGTTTTTATTTTACACACCAATATAAAATTTTGATTATCATTTGTCTATTGAAATAACTTCTTTTTGGATGATTGAAAATGATTTAGCAAGTATATATTTGTTTATTATAGTGTCATTGTGCACACAAAGCATTTAATGTACATTATTTATATGAATAACCACTTTGCACTCTGTCTATAGAATCTATATGTAATTTAGTACATACACAAACAGAGAATTCTTAATTGCCTTTATGGACCTAAAGCTTTTTATTTTTTTTAAACAAACTAAATTGAGATCTATTTTATTTTTAATTTTAAGCCTATATCATCTTTTAAAATTTACTTTTAAAATAAATTTTGCGAAGAAAGATTGAAAAATAGATATTCCAAAAATGGGGGTATAGGTGTTCAAAAGGATGTTTTGTGAAATTTTTCTGATCAACCATAATAAAGAAGGTGTTTTTGGTAACCTAAGATATAATTCTAAATAATTGTAAAGAAAAAAAGCATGTAAACGTATAAAATTTTGAGAAATATTTAAAATAAAGATATTTTGAGGTTTTTCTCTGAAAGATTTTGACAGAATCAACATCAATTTTTTAGTGTTTTCAAATAGAAATTTCAAATATTCTCTTGACAAATGAATATTTTTGATTTTCATAAGTTTTAGCATTAATTTGATGTGATTTGGTACATAGCTAACTATAATATGATGTCACACTTCTACATGTTGAATTTTGGCTGTTGAAATTTTAGAGGTATGTACTTCGAGACATGTTACATGAAAATTAACCTGCAAAGATATGTTTTTATGGATGTTTTAGTTAGATTATGACTTACTCAAGATTTTCAAATCAAAAAATAAACAGTTTGACAGAAAATTTTGAAAGTACGGACCTACCTTAAATTATATAAAAAGAAACTGTACTGTGTTTTTATAGATTTCGAGAAAGCCTTTGACTCAGTCTGGCGATTAGATCTTTAGAATAAAATTTATTAAACAATATAGATGGCAAATGTTTTAAAGTTATAACTAATATGTATAAGGATATTAAATCAAGAGTAGTAGTTAACGGAGTATCATCAGAAATGTTTTCATGTACTGTAGGAGTAAGACAAGGTGAAAATTTATCACCATTTTTATTTGCACTGTATCTAAATGATCTTGAAGGATTTTTGTTTGACAAAAATATAAAAGGTTTGAAAAATCTATCTGAGAAAATTGAAGATGAACTTAATATATATCTGCGGCTTTATGTTTCACTCTTTGCAGATGATACTATTATATTATCAGAATCCCCTGCAGATCTTAAGTACCAGCTTGAGATGAATACTGTAAAAAATGGCACTTGGGGGTTAATAGTGCTAAAAACAAAAGTTGTTATATTTGGTAAAGGTAAAAGATGTAATAATAATACATTTAAGTTTGCATGTGTTCCATTGGAAATTATTGAAAATTTTAAATAGGAGTAACATTTAGTAAAAGTAGATCTTTCAATTTGAATATTAAGGATATGAATGAAAAAGCTACAAAAGAAATGTATGGAGCTCTTCGAAAATGTAGAAAACATAATCTTTCAATTGATTGTAAACTAGATGTGTTTGACAAAATTTTTAGTGAAACCAATTTTGTTATATGGTTGTGAAATATGGGTATTTTGTAATATCGCTCTTATAGAGAGACTTCATCTAAAATTTTGTAAGCATGGATTTCATTATTTATTTAACTTACTGACCCATACATAAAGAATTCTAGATTAAAATTTATTATATATATATTTATATAAATTTTAAATATTATTACTTAAAAATGTATTATTATACAAATCCTAATGTTTTTAAGTTTGACCAACTATTTAATTTGAACAGCAGGGAAAAATTAACTAAATTATGTAAATTTATTGGAATTATAATGGAGACAGTCGACTCTCTTGGTCTGTGACACTGTCATTTTTTTCCACTGTTTTTTTCTTTTTCTTTGTCTCACGCATGTTTAATTGTAAATATTCTATGTAATATCCTCTCTATACTGTTTTGTACAGTTTATGAGAATAAAGTCTTGTCTTGTCAATAAAATTGTCAAGTAATTAATGGTGAATTTTGAGATATCCTCGGCATACAAAGTAGAGCTACATTTTTTATATATTCAGCGTCATATACATTCATATACATTCACTTAAAAAGAGTGGATTAACTGTCTATTTATGCTTTCATAGTATCAAAGGTATACCGAAAATCAGAGATGTCATAAATAAGTGATAAACTATTTTTCTATTTTATTTTGCAAACGTCAAGATCGATCCAGCTCTTCATTTTTTATTCATGATCACACTCCACTTTTGATTCTCTTAGCAAAGTTTATAATCATTAAAAAGGTATATGGAAAAAGAAAAGGTGTCATTTTAAGGCTTTCTCCTTTTACATTTTTTTTCTGCTTTGTTTACAAAATCCATAATTCGTTTTGAATTTAAAGCAGTGATGACGGGGAGTTGTGGTTGTATATAATCTAACCAAAAAATACAGATAGTGCATGATGGAGATCAACTGATTTTTCATTTGTTCTTTCAAATGTTTTACTTTCTTTTTTACATTTAAATTGATTAAGAGTGATTATTTCATTTTCTCTTTAAAAAAGAAGCAGAGTTTTTTGTTCTTTTTTTTTTTTAAATTCAACAATGTTTTCTTTCTTCTTCGTTTTTTGCCTAAATATAACTTTTTCAAATTTTGAAATGAAAATCGTTAAATATTGTCTCAAAACTAGCTATATATTATAAGAAGAAAATCAAGGAGTAGCTATTTCTTTAATTATGATATTACTCTTTTTCAAATTTAAAAATGAAAATCTTAAAATATGGTAACTATTTCTTTAATTTTGATATCTTCTTCCTTTTTTACTTTGTTATTTTATTTTAAGTTAAAGTTTATTTGGAAACACGGAGATAACGAACAGTATTCAATATCAAAAGTCCATAAAACAATACAAAACAGGAGCAGAGCAAACACGGCAAACATCAGAGGGCCATGCAGGAGTTAGCATCCTCTGTCGACCGGTCGGAACCGCCGTGTGCTCCTTGTCATGATCGGGAAATAACGGAAAAATCGGTCATCAATTCAGTGTAGTAACGTTATTTATTTTCATACTGTTTGTGATCTCCATATACATGTATTTCATTGCTTAACATATACGAGGGCTGTTCAATAAATGATCTCCTTGGTGCTCAGAAAGAAGCAAAAGACGCTTTTCAATGATTTAGTCTTCATGATTTAACTTACTAATCTCTTTTAATCAAAACACATGTCCGTAACATTTTTTATCCAATTTCTGATTGTTTTTAGAACTCATTTTTGGGTATGACCCTTAGCATACTGAAAAATGGCAGATCCTATCATTTCCTGAGCTTATTTCTTCCTTCTGAAAGGTGTTTTATCAAGTTTGGAAGCAGAAACAAGTGAAAAGGTCAAAGATCTGGCGAAATTGTTAATGTGAAAAAACATTAAGTTTATTCCGAAAACCCCTTTACTCTTTAGGGCGAGCGGGTTTGGACGCTGTCATGAAGAAATCTAATGTGGTGGATTCCTGATTCTGGGTCCTTCCTCTAATAAACCTTTCGATTTTTTGCAAAAAATTTGCTTTTTAGCCTCCTCCAGAGATTAAACTGTCTCCCCGAATACGAATTTGAAACAATACCAGGAATGTTTAAGAAAATTGCATATAAATGTCTTTGTGCTCTTGTAATTCTTTGCTCATGTCAGACCTTCGCTGTTTTTATCAAGTACATCTTATGGTAAATTTTGTTTTGAGGGTTTTAAGCAAAAGATTCAAGTTCCATTATCTGTGTGAATATCAAACAAACGTGGATAACTACAATTACTGATATTTTAAAATAATTGTTAAGGAGGAACAGGACCTCTAGCTTAAAAAATTCCTGTCAATGAATTTTTTTCGTATTTTTTATATTACTAATTTAATATGTACTTAACATTTTAAAACGGTCCTGTCAAAGGATTTCTTGACTTATTTAAAAGATATCGCCCCACAAATACCGCCCCGTGAAGAGTTTGTAGGGAGTTTAGATACCTCATGTTTACGGGCCCATAACGGAGTCCATCATGCGAATTTTTACGCACAAACGATAAATATTATAGATAACACTATATACTCAAATCTTTCAGAATATTCATAGTGTTTAGATTATCTGAAAGCAATTGTTTTAATTTTAAATAGTATTTGGGTATGATAATTTCTGCATTTTTCAAGGCAGCTTCAACGACAAAAACCTCACTGGGAAAAATTCTGTCAATAAATATTTCTAAATTTACGATTGAATGTCAGTCCTTCATCGTAATTATTTACTGCATAAATATCACAGGGTGAAGCTTACCTCAATTTCGCACAGGACATCGTTGAATTAGACGTAAGCATGATAAAAACACTGAACACGTTTGTATTTTCCGAGTGCGGGAAATCAATTGTGACGTCACACGAAAACATAAACATTCAAAATTATCTAAATAGAGAGAATCTCTGCTACTAAACACGAAAAAATATTAATCTTAAAAAATCTGCTTCAGAAATTTATCACGATACATTGACTGTGACCTGTTTATTATGTTTAAGAAAATTGCATATAAATAAAACTGATCATGACGGGTGTGTGTACTTGATCTCGCTGCACTGAAAATTCAAACACTACGTCTATGACGTCCCTGACGTCAAACTGCAGGGTAAAGAGAAACAAATGTATGGATTGGGCAACTTCATAATTATCTAAATGATGGCAAGATCTTTAAAAATTTTATGAATAATAATTTCTAAAATTAAACATGTTAAATGTTTAAACAACAATTTTAGAATTTAGAATAAAATTCCGCAAGAACTGTTGATTTTAAAAACGTTTAACATGTATATCATCACCGATTATGACGTAATATGTCTTTTTAGTCATGTGACATGTGCCCTGTCTCCTCTTAAGACATTCGTACACGCTGTCGTTTTCACTCATTTTTCAAAATATAGGGTGACCGTTGAGTACTAAGCTTTTTTACCATCAAACGTTTCTTAAAAACAGTGTAAACTACTCCCGAAATGATGTCTACGCAATGTGTCTTAAAGTCAATAATACATCATCAAATATTAATTGTTGAAATTTGGCAAACAGTACATAAGTTGTTATAATTTCTGCTGTCAAGGATGGTACCCATTTTTGATGCCCATTATATAACTTTTTATCATTGAAATCCACCTGCTCATTTGTCTATAAAACAAGCATTGGTTGCGGTAAATGTCACATATTTCAGTGAATATTTCTTTGGAAATTTTAACAAGTTTTACAGCAGCTTTAATGAAGCTTTTATTTTCACTCTAGTTTACTTACTCTTTACCATTCATTTATAATGCAGTGTCTCGAATAGCCCTTGTTTTCCAGCTCCTCACAATGAAACTATTTAATGAAAAGTGGTCACATAAACTGTTCTAAATTCATTAAAGATTAAATAAATGAGAGAAAGTCAAGCTTAATGTCATATGATATCTGTATTGTATTTCATACAGTTCAGGACATTATTTATTGAACAACCCTCGTATATAAAGCATATGTGGAATAAAAGGAAATTCAGGGAATAAAAAATTCCATAGTAATCAATCTTGAGCTAATCCCTATAAAGGTTGCAAGAATCTAATAAAAATCTGTGCAGAAATAAATGATAATGACCTTTTGGGGGGTAGTTTTCTTGATAGTTTTGAAAATTATTGCTTTTATAGATAATAGTAACGGTTTTCCTTAATTAAAAAAAATATCATCGAAGAAGAACGTTTTGTATGTAAAACCTTCGAGATTCTTTAGTGTTAAAGCTTAATGGGTTTCTGTACTTTTATTAACAAAATTAAAAGACCGACGAGTCAATGTCCGAGGTCTATAGATCTCACAGGAAGTGACTTATAATAGCAGCAGCACAGTTCTGTATGAACCCCGTGAAGCGTGATTGGCCAGTATATGTAATCGATTTTAGGTTTTGCTTAATTTGACACTAATATAAGGGTTCTGTTAATTTTTTTTTTAATGAAAGCTGACGTCACTGATGTTTTGCTATTAACAGAAATAAGAACAATATTAATTTAAAAAATCGATTATTTGCCTATTAAAATTATATTCAACGATGTCGTTAATGAAAGGTTCCGTAAAATAAATATAGCAATACATATATACTTGATTTATGAAATGTGTAATTCTTGATGTAAATGTAAGTTTTATTTCTTGAATAATTGATAGGCTTACTAATTATTTGACAGAAGTATAGAATAAACAATCATGATCGAAGTACAAAGTTTAGCTGGTTGAATCTAATGTAGATTAAAGAAAAGTGCAAGCAGTCTCTTTGGCACCGATTCTCTCGTTATTATCATTAAAACATTGTTGCGTGTTTAACTGAATATCCTTTAAACTTTATACACCAGTTCAGTGACATCCATCAAAAAATTTGCTGTTGATGCAAAAAAGGGATAATTACAAGGTATGAATACTGTACGAGCTTGACATGTGAGCACTTTGTACTTTACATATATCGACGTACGTCATCGCCAATTTAATAAAAAGGTGCAAAAAAGAGATTAAAAAAAAACGGTATTATTATTATTTTGATATTAAAAAAACACATGCTTTAATAGCAATAACGAGCAAAAATAAGCAAATAAATAATTTTAAAAAAAAACAAAAGAAATGTTTATTTCACTGAAAGAATCTTCAAACTTTTTTTGTTTTATCTTTTAGCCTTGTTGAGCATGGTTTGATAAAAAAAAATATCATATAACGTAACAATCATATTATGACTTCCAGTCACAAGCTGTCTCATGAGCACTGATCTTAACAATATATATAGTAGTCATAACGTCATTAAATAACTAATTAATGGTTCAGAATCGTTCGCGTACCGTGCGTGCTAGGAATATTTATAACTTCCTTTTTCTTCTACTTTTATACAAGAAAAAGCTTTCATAGATTTAAAAATAAGTGTCATATCAACATTTATCGCATCGAGTTGGTAGTTTTGTGCTCTATTCACAAATGGCATTGTGTATTTGTCATTAATTTTTTTTCAAAACATTATCTTCGCCTTTTTCATTGTTATCATAAATGATGAAATATTTTTTTAACCTTCTTTTTGATTTAGTGTTTTTTATTAGATTTGTTAAATATCAGACAATGTTTGGTATAATTATTATCAAAATTGCATGGTTGCTGCGATAAATGTTTTAAAAGAATGTATGGTTGACATACTCTTTTTCGCATTACTGATATCAAACCGACTATTTCTTTGGTCGTAGGCTTTTTGGACTTTTAACTCTCGCTGATATTAACTTATTTTCAGATTTTGGGGAATCCTGGGAGGTATATTCGCCATAGGAATTATTCTGATTGCAGTTACCTACGTAATATGCCGATTCCGATCTCCAAATAGCTGCAGTGAGTACCAAGTCATTATTTATGCATGCTATAGTACATGTAATCTTATATTTTGAAAGTTACTTATAGCGATAATTTTATTGCTACTTTAACCAAGTTTCCTCATAAAAATTGAGGTAGTTTACCAGGCATGTGTGCAAGATATCACAAGACATGGTTCCTCTGTCATATTATTTGAAATTACTTGAATTTGCAATAATTATTATCACAATTTAAGTTACATTTATTTTTTTTTTAAACTTCTATCAAAATCAGTTTAGAAATGAAAATATAACGTTAATTATAAAGGTTTTATGTTACGAAGAGAAGCAAAACAAATATTTGAGGAACATGTCGTTATATTTCAATTCATCAATTGTGATAATCTTTGTCTGGTGTTTTAAAGAATAAAACGATCCAATTAAAACATCGAAAATATTTTTATACATAATCTGTGTTTTTCAGGTAAGGTAATTTCATTCTTTAAAAATAAATTTTTCATGCATTTACATTTCGAAAACGCATGTTGTATTGATTTGCTTTGTTGTGATTCTTCTATTAACGTTTTATCAAATTTGCTTTTGCAGCAAAAAGTTATACAGATGACGAAATGTTTGATGAAGAATCGATGGCGTCACAAAGAAGACGGTCTTCGTTATTTGTCACCAAATATTTTATGCGACGAGAGAGTATTTGGAGATTGAAAACTAGGAGAAAATCTCAGCTGACTGTAAAAGTTCACGGGAATCATGCCAGCACAAGTAAACCAGTCGTATCAGAACATTTGACAAAAAACAACCATGTGAAAAGTGGACGTGTACATTTAAGTAGCAGAGGAGGTGGCAACAAAAACCCATCATCAGGACTACCTGAAGTTGTTGATTGATTTTTTTCAAAATAGATAAATAATAATTTTTAAACTTATCTCAGAGTTTAAATTGAATAAACATGCCCTAGTTTGATACGTGGAGAGGAAGAAACTTGAAACAACGAAGAGAATAATATATGTGAATATTTTCAAATTTGTTTTGTTATTAAATAACACAACTAGAGTACTATGAGCAATGATACCCCCTCTCTCATGTTTTGCTCTGGGAGACACGAAATAAGTGTCAGATCAAAAGTAAAATAGAAGGTATACAGTGGTATTATGTAATGAAGAATCTCTGAATGTATCATTAAATTTTATTTAGTGGTAATTGAGAAGGGTCGTGGATAAGAGATGGGTACCCTTCAATATTACAGAAAGAAATGCCGTGTCCATGATTTGCTCTTAGAACCCAAAATATGTATCTGATCCAAAAGTAACAGCTGCACAGTGGCTCTAAGTGACAAAGATTCTGTGAAAGTCTAATTAAATTTCAATCAGTCGGGGAGTTGAAGATAAGAGATTGGTACCCCAAATCGTAACAGACAGACGGACATCTCGATCACTAATATACCCTCCCTTTTTTCGTAGCGGTAATGGCAATTTTGAAAATGTAGCGGTAATGATACTCACCAACAGACTTGGTTTTGATTATTGTGACAATTTTACCTTTTACCTTTTTTTGTAAATTCTGAAACCGAAAAAAATTTGTTTTCTGATATCAAATCAAGACAGATGTGTTTAACTTTAATCTTTTTAAAGATTTTTAATCTTTACTCAACTTTTTAAGTATTTCTGTGTACATGCGGAAATAGGTATATGTACTTTGAAAAAAAAAATCAGGAATTGTATTTAGCAACGATTAAACTATTAAATGCTCGGAACATCTTGCGGTTAATCTATTAGCAATTCTGCATTCGATTGGCATCCATGATATATATTATCACTGTGCTTTCAAAAATCTTGGGAATGTATGCTGATTCTTTTGTACAAAAACATCTGATTTTACTATTAATTTAAACTATAAATATCTTTGAAAAATATCATTGAAAAGTTTCTTTATCAATAACATGTGTAATGTTCATATCTTAAAATAGTCATTCAGATTTAATGTTTTCCCACGTTTAGGAATTTGCTATACCAGCAGAATGTTATATGTTAAATACAAGTTCAGTAATTGATGTTGACAGTTTCAGCCACGCCGATTTGTGTAATCATTTAGTTATGTAGTTTAGAATTAAAGCGTTAAACCGGGCAGACGTGTTTTCTGTTATAAGTGTCTAGAACACGGACAGTACATTGGCGACGAGGATAACAACAATGGCAAAGGCATTGCAGTTACCTGCAATTAATCCATTTGATGTTAACGGTGACCAAACAAGTGTCTCACAAAGGTGGGACAGGTGGAAGAAAACCTTTGAATTCCACCTAACAGCATCCGGCATTACGGATAAAGCGCAAAAAAGGGCTTTATTTCTACATTCCGCGGGAAGTGAAGTTCAAGAAATATTTGATACTCTTGGGGAGTCGGGAGATGATTTGGACGGTGCCAAAAAGAAATTAGATGAGTACTTCCAACCAAAACGGAACATAGCATTTGAGCGTCATTTGTTCAGGAACGCGGCACAAGGTGAAATAGAAAAAATTGACAGTTTTGTGACTAGGCTGCGCAAACTGGCCGTAACCTGTGAATTTGAGAAGCCAGACGACAACATTCGCGATCAAATCGTTGAAAAGTGTAGATCGTCAAAATTAAGAAAAAGACTCCTAAAGGAAAAGGAATTAACTTTAAAAAATGCAATGGACATAGCCCGAGCTGGCGAAATCGTAGACGAGCAAGCAGACAGATTCAAGGGCTGTGAAACATTTTCAAACTCCGATGTTAACACTGTTAGGCCGTCGGTAAATCACAGGAAAAAGTACGTATCTGAGAAAAGTTCTCAGAAAGATGCCACGTGTTTTCGGTGCGGGCGGAAGGGCCACATTGCAAGGAACTGTACAATTACTAAGGACAAAACGTGTAATAAGTGCGGGAAAAAGGGTCATTTCGCAAAAGTGTGTAAGACCAAATCGGATACCCCGCGCACTAGACCAGGTAAGGACCGCAGTACAAAGCATGTTCATTTAGTGCAGAGCGAGTCCTCAGATGACGAGTTCGCATTTGCTGTCTACAAAAAAGATACAAATGGCATGATAGACGTTAGCGTGGGCGGAGCTAAGATACAGATGCTAATTGACTCTGGCGCGAGCTGCAATATCGTTAACCACAATGTATGGAGCGCCGTTAGAGCTAACGATGAAACAATGTCTCTGTCGAGAAGCACAAAAAGATTGTTTTCTTACGGATCAAAGGAACCTTTACAAATACTAGGAACATTTCGGGCTGTCACCAAGCATGGACTGCGTGAAACATATGCAGAGTTTGCTGTCGTTGAGGGCGATTATATTTCCTTACTAGGAAAAGACACAGCGGTAGAGCTAGGAGTTTTACGCATAGGGACCGATGAGCCGAACCTATGCTCCGTTAGAAATGAACTTGATAGGATTGTTGCCTCAAGAAATTCTGTTTTCAATGGAGTAGGGAAACTGGAAAATTTTCAACTGAAAATTCATATCGACAAGACCGTGACCCCTGTAGCACAACCGTTACGACGCTTACCATTTAATGTGAGGAAGAGCGTGAACAAAAAGCTCGAGGAGCTGGAGAAGATGGACATAATTGAGAAGGTAAACAGCCCAACGGCTTGGGTGTCGCCACTTGTCGTTGTGCCTAAGAAAAACGGGGAAATTCGAATCTGTGTTGATATGAGACGGGTCAACACTGCCGTTCAACGTGAGCGATACCCGATTCCGACTGTGGATGAAATGCTTGAAGATATGAACGGCAGCACAGTGTTCTCAAAACTTGATTTACGTTGGGGATACCACCAAATAGAGCTAGACGAGGAATCAAGAGAGATAACCACATTTGTGACACACGAGGGCCTTTACCGCTATAAGCGCCTCATGTTCGGAATTTCCTCAGCATCTGAGATCTACCAAAGAGTAATTGGACAAGTTATTCAAGGTATCAAAGGAGTGAGGAATTTGTCTGATGACATCATAGTTTACGGGACGGACCAGGCGGATCATAACAAGAAACTTACGAAAGTGCTTGACAGACTAGCTGAGAAAGGGCTTACCCTTAACAGAGAAAAATGCGAATTCGGTCTATCTAAAATTGTTTTCCTCGGACATGTGATTTCATCAGAGGGGGTTAAACCTGACCAGGAAAAGATCAAAGCAGTATCGGAGACCAGGACGCCGAGCAACAGTTCCGAAATAAGGAGCTTCCTGGGGCTGGCAAATTACTGCGGCCGTTTTATACCTAACTTCTCAACGATAGCTGCCCCGTTACGAGAACTTACAAGAAAGAACACGCACTGGAGTTGGACGAAAAGACACCAGGATGCGTTTGACATGCTTAAAAGAGCGCTCGTAAGTGCCGAAGCACTAGCATACTACAATCCAAAAGCCGAGACAAGGATAATCGTGGATGCGAGTCCCGTTGGACTTGGGGCCATTCTAGCACAGAAACAACCAGACGGATTGTTCAAACCAATTGCATATTCAAGTCGAACTCTAACCGACGTTGAGCAACGGTACTCGCAGACTGAGCGCGAGGCTCTAGGTGTCGTGTTTGGTTGTGAAAAGTTTCACATGTATATATACGGGCTAGAATTCGAAATCTGGACGGATCACAAGCCGTTGACCTACATTTTTTCCCCAAAGTCGAAACCACCAGCTAGAATCGAGCGATGGATATTGCGACTTCAACCGTATAAATATAAGATTGTCTATATACCTGGACCAAAGAATGCTGCTGATGCTCTATCCAGATTGAGTCAGAATCAGGCTTGCCGAATACGCCACATTGCAGACGAGTATGCGCATTTCATTGCAGATAATGCTGTACCGAAAGCACTCACTATTCAAGAAGTTCGTCAGAAAACATCGGAGGACCGAGAACTCGTCGAGATTATGAGGAGGATCGAAACAGGGCATGGCCGTCTGGATCCTAAAATTCGTACTGTGGAAACGGAACTTTCAGTCGTCGACGGAATAGTATTACGTGGATCGCGCATCATACTGCCTAAATGCCTGAGGAGACAAACAATACAGCTGGCCCACGAAGGACACCAGGGCATTGTCCGCACGAAACAAAGACTAAGAGAAAAGGTATGGTGGCCAGGCATAGATACAGAAGCTGAGCGATTTGTTAGAACATGTCAACAATGCCAACTTTTGTCGAACAACAATAGGCCCGAACCAGTTCGAACAACGGTATTACCCGACGGGCCATGGCAGGATCTGGCTATAGATCTTATGGGACCGTTTCCTTCTGGGGAGTATCTACTAGTCGTTATAGACTATTTCTCCCGATTTCAGGAAGTAGCCATTATGAAAAAGATAACCAGTGAGAAGATCATTCTTCAACTTGAGAGTATGTTCGCGAGGCACGGCTTACCTTACAGTATGCGAAGCGACAACGGACCACAGTTTGTGTCAGAGGAATTTAAGGGATACCTGAATTCAAATGGTATCAAACACATTCGGACTACACCATACTGGCCACAAGGAAATGGGGAGGTAGAAAGGCAAAACCGAACACTACTCAAAGCCATTAAAGCTGCAAACGCAGAAGGCAAGGATTGGAGACAAGAACTACCCAAGTTTTTACTTGCGTACCGTGCGACCCCACATTCTACAACCGGAAAAAGCCCTGCAGAGTTATTATATAATCGGAAAATTCATACCAAGTTACCAGAGATCAGTGCAAGAATCGATCACAAAGAAATAAGAGAAACGGACGCAAGACGGAAAGAGGATTTTAAAATAAGAGCGGATGAGAAGCGCCGCGCCATACCGTGTGAAATTGAGATCGGTGACACTGTTGTACAACGTCAGCCAAAGCGCGATAAGTTGTCAACCGAGTTCGCTCCTGAGAAGTTCATCGTGAGGGAGAAATGCAGAAATGCAGCGACTCTCGAGGATGAAAATGGATCGTTGATTAAGCGAAACTGCACGGCTATAAAGAAATTTATATCGAGCGACGAAAACGAAACAGAATCGCATGACCCCGAAATGAGCGCAGACGAAACAGGAGACGAATTGGATAAAGACCGTTCTGTCACAGATACCGGAAGACCAACCCGGGAACGTAAACCACCCACCTATCTAAAAGACTATGTGACCACCTGAGAAAAGAAAAGGATGACTTTTTGTTATTTGACTGTAACTTTATTCTGTATTTGTATAAAGATTAGTTATTGGCATTACAGGCTGTCATTTCAGAAATTATGTAAAGATTAGTTTTTCTGTCTAAGGTGAAGAGGGATGTAATGTTCATATCTTAAAATAGTCATTCAGATTTAATGTTTTCCCACGTTTAGGAATTTGCTATACCAGCAGAATGTTATATGTTAAATACAAGTTCAGTAATTGATGTTGACAGTTTCAGCCACGCCGATTTGTGTAATCATTTAGTTATGTAGTTTAGAATTAAAGCGTTAAACCGGGCAGACGTGTTTTCTGTTATAAGTGTCTAGAACACGGACAGTACAACATGTAGTTTTAAACTTATGATCATTGTTCCTCGATAAATTCATTCATTTATTAAAAAATGAAATAATCTGTTTTACAGTGTGTCAAATATGATGTCATAATTAATCAAATAATTGTTCCCGAATATTTGTTACATGTAAATATTGATAAAGCGAGGGAAGTAAATAACTGCATGTTTTCTGAAACTCTTTGTATGTAATTGCTTTTTATGATGTATTACTGCTATATATAGCAGGGTTTTTAAAACAATAGATAAAAATTTCCTTACTGTTAATTTTTCAAAGATGGAGATAGGATAGAACCATTTTTTTTTTTTTACTCTTTTTGCGGAATTACTCAAAAACTCTCTCGATCTGAGTAAACATAATGTGGACAATGAGATCTTTTTGTTGCAAGATTGTCACTGCACGAATTTTCCTGAATTTTTCCATGTATTTACAAGATAACAAGTTTAGTTATGATACACAATTAAAATTTATGAATATATGAAGAAAGATTGAGTATGGAAAACCATGTTTGCACAGGCATTTTTTCTGTTTTCCACGAGAATTAACTTTTCCCATTTCTTTAAATCACATAAAATTAATTCTTTTGGACTTCATACAAACAGTATCTAATATTAAGGTAAGGAAATATATCAGTATTATATGCAGATTTATATATAAGAGACCTTCCATTTATTAATTTTGTGAAGCATTTCATGATTTTATTTTGTTTATTTACTCAAAGTATAAGGCGAGGATGTAGAAAACAATGGATTGCTAAATAAAGTAAATAAATTTAATTCCACCCATTACGATTTCTTCAGACCTATAACCGTCTACAATATTAAGCCATTGAAATACATGTAGTATAATGAAAAAAGCATTTATTTAGTAGATTTCAATCAATAAAATGATTTTTTAACATAAAATTAATAATAATTCTTGCCAGATTTTTGCAAATGAATACACATGCATTTCTTTGTTTGACAAGATACAACGTAAACGCCAAATATAATGATTTATTAAAAATAATAATTAAAAAAAAATAATCTGATTTCCAATAGAAAAATAAGTGGTACAAATTTCACGAACTGCACTTCTTAAGAACTGAAGTGAAAGTAAATATCCTTTATTTACTTTCTTACCCCTTTTAATTTCTCATTTAAGTTTAAGGATACGTTTCTCTGAATGAAGGGACATGGACATCTGCTCTTGTGAAGTTATGACCAAGAGCTCGTACATCCTTCTCAAACTGTTGTGTGTAATCACTGGCACTAAGGCAATTACCCTATAAAATAAATTTTAAAGTAACATAAAGTAAATAATACACGCTGTTCGTATTATTCTGACAAGATGCTTTCGATTTTTTTTCTATCCAGGTAATAAAAAAAGAGCTGACCACTTAGATTTGCCATGTAAACAATTTTTTTTATAACATAAACATATTTTGATTTTGATACAAAGGCTTAATTACGTATAAACAATTTTCCTTTTTGATACCAAATATTTGCATGCGATCTTTGAATCTTACTCTTGCTAAGTATTTTCCACCAGGCTGTAGTACCTTTAGAGCCAATTCCAGGGTCGCATAACTTGTTTCAAACTCATATCCAAACCCTGAAAATAAATGCAATAAACTCATGTTTTAAGCTTATAACTTTCAGTCCCTATTAGATCGGTTTATCCCCTAACTTAAAAACTATGATCTTGATCCTTCAGATTGTAAAAGAAACAATGACCCTGGCATTAAGCCTTGACACTGACAATTACGTTAATAGGTACAATTTAAGTGTCAGGTGAACTGTCTCCGGATTTTTTCCCTTTATCCAGCTCATGACAGGGAGCACACAAGAGTGTTATCGGTTGACACTGGATGCTTAACTCCTTCATTGCACCTGATCCCACCCGTGTTTGCTCTCCTCCTTTTTTTCTTTCAATGGCCTTATGAACTTTTATTTCTATTTCGTTAGAATTTTTTCACCCGCTACAGTATACTAAATAAAATAATGTATGAAATATAAGACTGTATCCCTTGTCTCTTACCGTATTTTTCCTTGTCGACTGATAATTCCGTCAGGTCGTTGATGACAAAATCATATTTAGTTCCTGAATCTACTGCCGCTTTCAGTTCTTGCATGCAATCACAAATCTTTATCTGCGTTACAAATATTACAGAATAAATAAAACAAAAATGAAATATGGATCAATATCTAAATTTCATTTAATTCCATACTTAAGCTTTAAGTTCATGTATGCAATCAAGTCTTTATAAAAGTAAAATTTGTTTACAAAATGAGTGAAGATTATGACATTTAGAAATCTTAGTTTTATGATAAAACATACTTTTTCAACTTTTTAAGACACTAAATGTGATTAACACTTATAAGCGTCTTCATTAGAAACTATTTCAAATACGGTATATGTATCCAATTGACCCTTCTTACGAATTTCAGTTTTTTTCTGTAGTGATAAATACGGTTCAGCATGGCAAATTAACTTAAAATAAAAACAAAATAATAAAAGCCCAATACAAGAACTGTATGTAAAAACTCTGAAAACTTCTGTAAAATGAATTATCTTGTGATTTTTTGTTTAAATTAGAAAATGAAATATATTATCTGGTTACTTAGAAAAAACTGAGTTCTTGGTCTTTAATTATTTCTTTATTTTTTTCCTCTCTCCAAATTTAAATGATTCCAATGGATTTTGAGCTTCTTTGCTATGTCTGTTTGTTGTCTTCATTTCTCATTCTCATTTTAATCATTAGATGACTATTAAGGGGGGATATAAATTTCTCTCACCTTATAGTTGTTGCCCTCTAACTTCTCTAGGGTGTCCCCACATACCGCCTTCATGTGTTTACTACAGGCTTTAATCACCTCCTCATCTATCTAAAACAGGACTCTTATTAATGACTTGTCCTGACTGCATTTTATCAATAATTGCAAAATCTCAATATCTTTAAATACATATTTACGCATTAAATATCTTCTTACCTCTGCCATGAGAACAAAAGCTGGAGACTGTTTCAACAGTTCATGTAGTGTGCCCCCGTCTCCTCCACCAAGTATAAGTATTTGCTTATCCTTAAAGTCATTCTTTCCTCTTCCCAGCAATGACTCTGTGTATACTAAGTCGCTCTCACCTAGCACTGAAAAAAATTACAAGCCTAAATTACTATAGTATCTTTAGTTATGATATTTAAAATACTAAAACAGACAATTAAAAACTACAACTTTCAAAATTTATCCTTTTTAAATTGGGTTGCAAAATTTCAGGCAGATGGTAATATCGAATACTTTTGTAATTTATTTACTTTGTATTTATTTTTTTTTGGGGGGGGGGGTATTTTGGTGAAATTATTCTTACTTATATCATCATCCAGGAGCAAAACATTCCCAAATTCCTTCGATTTGACGATCTTTATACTCTGTGTCTCCAATACAATCTCTTCGTAATCAGTCTCAAAAATGCGCTCATCTCCGGTACATCCATAATTCCACGTGACACCAGGCGCTCGTCTGATTGGAGAAGGCAAGCTGCAAAATTTATTTCAAATGTTTTGTTTCATTTTATGTAAAGAACGCTCCTTGCTATGTGAACTGTCAATCGATACACTATTGCATTTACCATTTAAGTAAAATAACTATTGTTGCTCACCTTTTAGATTCTTCAATGATTTCTTTAAGGAATGTTGCTATAGATATTTTGAGCCCTTCTATGAACTGAAAATAAATAGAAATCTGATCAAAACATGAAAGATGATAAAAGCAGAATTATATAATAAAATTTTGATAGTATACAACTTCAGTATTTAAATTAAAATATAAAGCATTATTTTTTAAATCATAGACGTTTTTCATACTAATTGCTAGTCCATTATTTACACACAAATAGACAACGGATTTTCCCGTTATTTTCCGATCGTGAAAAGGAACACATGGCGGGTGTGACCGGTCGACAGTGGATGCTCACTCCTCCATAGCATCTGATATCACCTCTGATATTTTGAAGGTTCGTAATTTTATTGTAATTACAAGCAGATCATTTTTATATGCTAATGGTTATATATCCATATATAGTCTGTGCTGTTGATAAGCAGAGTATTTACCCGTAAAAATAAATGCTATTTAAAGCGTCTAAAAGGAATTGAACAGTAGATTAATTTTCTTCTCGAGATGTATTGATATTTGGGTAAAAAGAAACGTCAAAATGAAAACGTGTCAAAGACGAAAAACATTTCTGGTCTGCAGGAAAGGCTTACCTCAAATTCAAACGGTTCCGATAGTGGTTTTAAACAGTTTACGTTGTCTACAACATAGGTTATATCCACCGTAAGATAGGCGAAATGGTAAAGATGAATTACTATATGGCTACAAATAAAGGATTCAACACTTAAAGAAAGGACAAAAAAGTACCTCGTATTAGTGCAATTTCAAGAATGAATTAAGTTCTTTACAAAGTGCTGAAAACAAAACTCTTGAAAAAGACACAAATACCCATGATTGCTAGAGACGCACCTGCCATCATCAGACGTTGCAGTTATCACCTTGTCACCTTGGTTACCACAGTCACAAACTGTTTGTAGCTCGGCTTTGCCTTCGAAACAAATGTTCGGTATAGACTGGTATAATTCATGTGCCTCTGTAGAAAGACATTTTCAGTTATATATACATGTACGAGGAATGTTTAAAAAAAATGTCATTTCACCTACCTCTCGTAAAAATCGTGTAAACATCTCAATAAACTCACGTTCACACGTTAGATTGGTAACTGCACCGTAGCGGAATAAAAAAAAGCACTGCAATTTCACATTCTCATTAGCTATATGTACAGTGTACAGTAGCTTTATATACTAGCATATTCATTAAACTGTACTCAAAATGAGTGAAAAGGAGTAAACAATGCGCTGGAAATTAAAGCCTAGGTTTTTACTTTTCATTAATCACTTAGATATTGATTATGACGTCTGCGATATTTACAGAAATTGTCAAATTTCTCCAGTTTTAGCCCCGTGCGACTCTTTTATCCAGTTCATTCTAGATGCACCTATCTAGAAAAAGATACAAATCACGAAATGCTCTTGGGTCTGCATTCATCAATATATGATGGGAATCCCTATTGAGGAGTATGTATAAATGTTCCCAAAAGGGGACTGGTCGTCTGAAAAGTGTATACAGGCAAAAAGTGAGTACTTTGAAGAGCAGGGGGAAGAACAAAAAAGGATCAAGCCAATTGACATTATTTGGAGGGACACCGGCCCCTCATATGTTGTCTTAGGTTCTTTCATCTCCCTGACATGTTGTATAATTTATGATAACCTCTACTGATGTCTTAGATAAGAACCATCTTCTCTCTAACAAGCTATTTCTCTTATGCGTTACTTTCTCCCTGATATGTTATCTTTTGTAAGGCCTCACTTTCTGAAAAGTCATGTAGTTTGGCATCGTTACGTCTGACATGTTGTCATTGATATACCCTATCTGTTTCCTGACAAGTTGTCTTTGTTAAGTCCTACCTTTCTGTCCGTTAAACTCTATACTATCTCCCTGTCCTACTGTATTAGGCAAGCCCAGCATTCTTCCTCCCATATCGTCGTAGTTTAGCCCTATTTGTTGTACTTGTTAAGCTCTACCTTTGTAATTGTTTATTCTTACATTTTCCAGGTCAAATTGTCTTAGTCCTGTTAATACTTGCCTTTGTATTTGGTAGGCTTTCTCCCTTCTCCCTACCTTTGTATTTATTTATTAAGCCTTATCTTCTCCGTCATGTTGTATTTGTTAAATCTGAATTAATCGTCACCCACACTTAGTCTCTCTCTTCTAATTGTTTTGCCATACCTTCAGAATCGAATTTGTCCTTTTTTAGAGTAAAACACAACATTACTGTTGCAGTCCCCATTCTTCAGAGGAAGTGATGTACCAGAAGAGCAGATGTTGGTAAAGTCAAGTGGCATTCAATGGGAAAATCTTACTGTACAAAAAAAAAAAAATATATATATATATATATATATATATATATATATATATATATATATATATATATATATATATATATATATATATATATATATATATATATATATATATATATATATATATATATATATATATCTTATTGAAGGATAAGAAATGGTTTTCAATTTGCAAATATAGACGAAATAAATGAATAAAGAGATTAAGACTAATCTAGAAATCATTATGCTTAACAGTCCAGTCCAATACGAAAAATCGTGATATTACTAAAATTCGTAATATAAGCAATTTCTAACTCTTCTAAGAGTTAGATCCTTTTTTCTAATACAACCTCGTTGTTATGTTTTATCAAATCATGATATCGTGGATATGGATAAGATATCATGAGAAAAGATGAAACAATAGTTTCTTGCAATTATTTATATGAAAAACGTGATTAGTTAATCAAACAACACGTTTATGTCAAAAATTCAACAGATCTGTTTTATAATTAGTGACCTAATTTTAGTGTTTTTGAAAGCGGCTATTAATAGTTACAAAGTGACGTCGTTTAAACATGCTTAAATATTGAAAAAACTTTAACAACAACACAAAAACAAACGTCCAAAAACTGGTATAAAGGATCATGCTCAAGCCCACAAATCTAGATTAATGACAGATTTTTTTTTTCAGTAAAGAGTTGGTTGTTATCACCCCTGACCATGTCTACTTTCCAAATCCCTCCTTTATCTTTTTTATCTCTTCCCAAAACATAAAAGGCATTTGACTGGGAGATACTATAACTCATCACTTGGCTCCGTAATTTATTAGTTTTTGAAGGGTCTTCCTAAAGAGGAATATAGAAAAGCATTTCAGGAGTGGCTATCTCGTTTGAAAAAGTGTAAGTATAATTTATGTGTTTAAGAAGAGTATTTTGAATGAATGAGATACGGAGTTTATTTCACTCAATTTATTCGATACGCAATCAAGAGCATGCTCTACGTATGAACAATATCTAAAACGAGATAAATTATTGACAATCAAGTTGATGAAACAAGAATTTCAGCAGTCTCGTTTAAAGTCTTCATTTTGTAAGGTCTATGGCTGATACAATGACCTTGTCAGCAAATACAATTTATCATGAATCATATGCTGATTGACGTTTTTCATACTATTTTGTCCGTTATTTTCCTATAATGACAAGGAGCACACGGCCAGTATGAATGAATGAGATACGGAGTGTATATCTCTCAATTTATTCGATACGCAAGAGCATGCTCTACGTATGAACAATTTCTAAAACGAGGTAAATTATTGACATTCAAGTTGATGAAACAAGAATTTCTGCAGTCTCGTTTAAGATACTCCGATTCTCAGGTTCTGAAAATCAAGCATAGACTTATTGAAAATGCTCACAAAAATGTCTCTGAATTTTTTACCCATAATAATTCTTCAATCTTCACCCTTCAAGTTAATCATAATATATAGAGAAAATTAGTAAATCTCAAATATATTTTCAGGAATTGCAGATAAAAGCACCTGCTATGCATTTTCCAATTCAAATTTACAATTAACACATTTTAAAAATAAAAACCATAGGTATCCAGGCTATTCCACTATTTTTATACATATAATGTACTTTAATTTCTTTTATTTACTTCGATCATTTTAAAATGCAAAGTGTATAAAGATTCTCCTGTCATTGCAAAGCTCCATAAATCACTTCTAATTTCATATGAAGTTAATAAACATGCGTATTTATGGTAAGATTAAATAAACATCAGTTTCTTGATATAATTTTAACATGCTTTTACGTGGTAGAAATTTCGACTTTTAATTAGACCTTTCAGAGAACTTCAAAGAACCTTGAAGCACATTGAGAGGTATACGATGAAAATTGTTGCACGAAAAGATTTAATTTTCAAGCTTCATTCTGAGACTTTTTTGAATTAAATTATTAATAAAAGAGTTGTCCTTCCTGACTCAGGATCGGAGTCCCTTAAAGTCATCATTTTGTAAGGTCTAAGGCCGATTTAATGACCTTGTAAGCAAATACAATTTATCATGAATCAAATGCTCACTGACGTTTTTCAAACTATTTTGTCCGTTATTTTCCGATAATGACAAGGAGCACACAGCGGGTATGACCGGTCGGCAGGGGATGCTCACTCTTCCATGGCACCTGATGCCACCTCTGATGTTTTGGAGGTCCGTGTTTGCTCTGCTTCTATTTTGTATTCTTTATGGACTTTGATATGAATACTGTTCTTTATCTCCATATCATTCATAAATAAATGCAAATGATTCCGTTTTTATTAATTCATGTTGATAATGGAGAATGCTATTCTTTTATCCCACTGAGAATAATTTCCTATGACTAAAAAGTGGTTGTTATAGCGTAATGACAAAATTAAGGTCACAAACGATTTTTACGGCATGTATCAGGCTCATCTTATATAGGAACTCGTAAATTTACTTACCTCGTCATTGGTCATTTGCAAAATTATTTTGTTAAAACAGATTCTGATTGCACACATAAGTACTCTGACGTTGACATCAAGAAGATGCTTGAGTTTCTGATTGACAATATCTATGTGGTTTTCGGAGACCAGGTATTCCAATAATCTATTGGAATTCCCATGGGTACAAATTGCGCTCCGTTATTAGCAGAATTATTTTTATATTCATATGAAGCAGAATTTGTGCAAAATCTTATGCGTGAAAAGAAGAAAACACTTGCTGTGACCTTCAACTCGACATTCAGATATATCGACGACGTATTGTCAATTGATAAGGGTAATTTCCATTCCTACGTCGATACGATATATCCTGCTGAGCTTGAGATAAAAGATACCAGAGTCCAACACTTCTGTTTCATACTTGGATATTTTACTTGAAAAAGACACTAATGGTATTCTATCAACCAAGCTATATGATAAACGCGATGACTTTCCCTTACTTATGGAGCAATATACCTTCATCACCTGCATACGGAGTATATATATCTCAATTGATTTGATACGCAAGAGCATGCTCTACGTATGAACAATTTCTAAAACAAGGTAAATTACTGACAAGCAAATTGATGAAACAAGAATATCAGCAGTTTTGTTTAAAGTCATCATTTCGTAAGTTCTATGGTCGATTCAATGACCTTGTCAGCAAATACAATTTATCACTAAGTCAAATGCTGACTGACTTTTTTCATACCAATTGTTAGTTCATTACTTATACACTGAATTGACGACGGATATTTTCCGTTATTTCCTGATCATTACAAGGAGCACACGGATTGTGTGACCGGACGGCAGGGGATGCTCACTCCTCCATGGCACCCACCTGATCCCACCTCTGATGTTTCGGGGGTCAGTGTTTGCTCTTCTCTTATTTCGTATTGTTTTCTGGACTTTAAGATTGAATACTGTTCGTTATCTCTATATCCTTCTTATATATATTTACCTAGAATACTCGATGACGAAACATGTCCGAAACACCCTTCTCACTTCTTATTTTCTTTTTTTCTTTCTTTTTTTGAGGTATTTAATATCTCAACTGTTAACATATACATGTAGTAGTTAGCTACCCTTTTCTATAATTGATGATTGCAAAACTTATATATAAATCACGTATAAAACCGATATGGTGTACATACCTGATACTTAAACGTTAAGCTGAAAACATGCAGTAAAAAGTGTGTGGATATCTTAGTCAGATATTTCTGTCTATACATACATTGTAAATGTCCTTACAGTGTAATTTTTCCTACTTGAAATACGAGAAAAGTTCGCGGAGAAGTAGGTCTTGTGCGCGCGCTATATGCATGAAATCAGTTAAAACCTGCATATAAAAAACTATTAATATGCATTTTCTGATTAAAATGCAAGGATTTGGGGTTTTCCGATGAAAATATACAGATAAAATTTTTTTGAAAAAAAACATGCTTCACGGAGCATGGTATTTTAAGGCACTTTTTCATTATACATGTGTACCTTTACATTCACATATATTTTATTTTAGAATAGAAATTAAAACGTCACAGCGCGTGAAGATTTATGTTTTTTATTATGTATTACAAAACAGTAAGTATTAAAGAAGAAGATAATTTTGACAGCTTGGGCCTTATTGTGCCCTAAAAATTTAATGTTCTTAAAACAGAAATGAAATTAGCTTTAATAAGAATTGAGTAGATGAACATGATAAATCGTTAAAGAATATAGCATGAAGGAAGACCATTCTGGAAATATGACGTCATTAATTTAATAAAACTAATTTTGAAGCAAAAATTCCTCAAAATGACTAATTTCTGTGGCTATTTTCCTTTAGAAAATAGTGTCCACAGCCGTCCCTCACTTCAATATTTGGATATATTGTGTAAAATGATTTGAAAAATCACATATCTCAAAATTTTTGCGGGCGATGCATGTGCTGTTTGTCTTCTGAAAGAAAATTCCAGTGAAAATTGATGTCTTCTGCAACATTTTAACCCTATGTTCAAGACGTCACAGTTATAGCATTTAGGATGTCATATGAGAAATACGATTTATGTATTCTTACTACAAGGGATATCATCGATTCATAAAGCACCCATTATTATTTCTTACATCTCTTTCAAATTTTAGAAAAATACAGAGCCAGATTTGTATTGAAACTATACCTTGTTCTCACCTCGGATATAAATATATACTTGTATTTTAAAATAAACTAATAATGCTACGTTATTCGTGGATTTTTCATATGCCATAGAAAGTATGTACTAGAAGATTTATAAGACAAATAAAAATATATATTCATATATATTTATCTATAAATATGTATATTCGGGGCGGGGGTGGGGTGGGGGTAGAGGTGGGGAGTCCCCGTCCACAAACACCTGTGGTTAAGAGGTCAGGTGCACACTTCATCCATAACATTTCCTTAAGTCTACTGTGTATACATATATTAAAGAAATTACAGTAGGTATGGCCGTATTAAATTA